TCTGGCCTCCATTGATCTTATTGATTCTGAGTAATCCTAATTCTTTGAGCATCAGAGACAATCCTAATCTAGGTCTTCATGTGCAAGCTGTTACAGAGGGACCTACAGAGAATATTAGTTATCTCCTTTAACACAAGAAAGAATTGTTCTTCCCAGGAAAGAATTCTTGTTTCCAGGAAGAAGGTCTTCTTTGCCTACTGGAGACAAATTCTGGGAATTCAGGCTTAAAACTTGGAGTTGATCCTTCTGCAGAACTGGAAGTCAGAAAGTCTTTCTTTCATTTTTGTTTCTTGAGATTGAGATGTCTATCCTTGGGGTGTGTGTGTACGTGTGTGTGTGTGTGTGTGTGTGTGTTTGCATGCATGCAAGCGTGTGTGTTTAATTTTTGAGCAGTGGTATGCAGTTCTCTTCAGTGTTCACCATGATACATCCTGCTAGCTGTAGTAGAAAAGATAGTCTAGGCATCTTCAGATGTATGAAATCAGGAGGATATGCACAATATAATACCATTTTGAAATTAAAAAAATGTCCAAGTGCCTAAACTTAATGGTATGTAAAGAGAATTATGAGGAGGGAAAGAAAATATAAAAATATGAAAAGAATTAGGCAAAGAATGTGATTGAAAGTATAAAAATAAGACTCAAACCAATAATTATAACAAAACATCCAGTATATGGAGTGATAACTGCTTAAAGAATTAAAGAGGAGGGGACAAATTTAGACGCATCTCCATAAAATATTTTATTGGTAGAATAAGCAAGAACCAAATCTAGTTGCCAAAGAATAGGCCAACAGTGCCACTGTTAGATTAAGAATCATGGGGGAAAAATGAGTGTTGAGCCATAGTCTAGCTATAGCTTCCCCAAGAATTTACAGGAATTCTCTTCTGGGGTACTGAATCCATAGGTGAATCTCTGGAAGGAGCACTGGTGTCTGTTAGGGCTACTGTGTGGGCTGGAACTGAATATTCATTGTGTAAGAATATGTAAGAATGTACTCATTGCCTGAAATATTTTGTTCTAAAAGTTAATCATGGCCAACACTAGCTTTCAGAAATAAGCCAGATACAAGTCTTTTTTTGTAGAACAAAAGCTGATCCAGGTACCAGGGCATAGAAATATGAACAGAAACATCATCAGCACACGATCCATACATTTTTATCCTTGAGATAAAAGGAGAGGAGAGGAAGGGGGACACAATTGAAATGGATATATATTCATATAATTTTTGAGGTATTGGACAGTATTTTTACCCTATGTCTGGTTAAAATTAGCAAGCAAGTTTTTCTACAGGAGGCAGTGCTGTTCTATGCTGTAATTTAAATATAAAATTGATTTGTGCTATCAAATCACTCAAATTACATAACTGAGGTTACAAGGCCTAACCTTGAGCTACGGGGGAAAAAGCATCCTTTAAGCCACAGACTAAAAAAAGACTTTACTGAAGGGAATGGTGAATGCCAACTGTTCTGTAGTAGGAGAAAAGGATAAAATAACTGAAAGGGGGTGGAAATACAGTAATTTGGGGGACCCTGTGCTTGAAGGGAAGTAAATTTCCTTAGGGCAGGAGAGTGTCATTAATACAATGGCATGCTTGCATGAAATAATTTTCTGTTATCCAGGGTAGAAAATTTAGGAAATGGTCAAAAGTATGGTAGTTGGAAACCTAATATTGAAAAGGTACAGGAAAGTCAACTTTACAATTCATTTTCCAAACATTTGTTGATCCCACTTTATATGCCAGGCACTGGGTTGTATAACGGGGATACAAAGATGGAAAAAAAAAAAAAGATCATAATCAAAGTATCTGAAAAAGAAAACCACTAAAGAAATGTTATTGAATGTAAAGGAAAACCGTAACTTCTTTAATAACATATTATTCAAATTCAAAGATGATAGCACATTTTGAGATTCAGATTGGTAATGTATCTTTGATTACACTTTGCAAATGTATTTGACAATTAACCATATACTACTACTTTTTATTACTGAGAGGAGGCAGGACTCGACTCTGGAGGTGGGGATTGGGCTCCAGACCACACTGAAGACGAGCTGAAAGGGAAGAGGTTTTATGGAGTCTCTCCATAAAACACACTCACCGGTGCCACGTCAGGTTACCATTGCTAAGGCAACACCTGGAAGTTATGGCTCCTTTCCATGGCAACAATCTCATGACCTGGAAGTTATCACTTTTTTTTTTTTAAGAAATTTTGGCATAATTCACCCCTTAATTTGCATATCATTGAAAGTGGGTATAAATATGATTGCAGAACTGCTTCCGAGCTGCTACTCTGGGCACACTGCCTATGGGGCAGCCCTGCTCCACAAAGAGCAATACGTTTGTTGCTGCTGTTGTTCTCTACCACTTTGATAAAAGTTGTTCTCTACCACCACCAGCAGCACTGGCTCGTGCGCAAGTGGCCATGGACGACCACACTGTGCCCTCCCTGCTGCCCCCTCCGATCATCAAAGGAATCCCTCCCTGGCTCGAGGACCCTGCAAGGGCCCAGTATGGCTGCTGAGGAAGCGAAAGGCAGGAATTAAACATGGGTTTTACTTGAGCCACGCTTCAAAAAGTCCAACTCCCTGCAACGTCACCAAGGCCCTCAGGACCCCTGACCATAGCCTGCCCGAAGCCTGCAGCTCACCTGGAACCTCCTGCAGTCCTTAGCTTGACCTGGCATTTGTGCGCTTGCTTGCAGACCCCTCCTTCCCTACGTGTGCTGGGAAGACCCTAGGGCGCCTGCGCACACTCCCTTCCTCCTCCTCTTCCCCTTGATTGGGGCTAATGTGAATACCTGCTTCCTGCGTCTCCATGATCTCACTAGAGGTTGGCTGATTTAAAGACAGTGAGTTCCCTTAAAGGGTTCTCATTATGCTCAGAAGTAGAAATAAGGAAATCCTATTGTTTGATTCGCACAACCAGTCAGCGTCACATTTTCTAATCATCTGGCATTCAAGAACCTTCCTGGACAGGCCCATCCCGAAAAATAC